GGAGGGGAGCCGCCACCGCTGGGAGGGAAGCCGTGTCGGGGAGGGAAGCTGCCACCGCCTCCACCCTCCGCGCCGCCGCCGCTGCCTCCACCAGATCTGGGAGGAGGGAGGGGAGCCACCACCTCCTTCACCCTCCGTGCCGCCACCGCCGACAGCCGCTGCCGCCTCCACCCTTCACGTTGCCATCGCCCTCTGGCCACAGCTTGGGAGAGGAGGAAGGGAAAGGTACTGAGGGAGAGGTGGGAGGGGAGAGCCAGAGAGGCTCTAACTTAGGGCCTATTTAGTTTGTGAAAAGAAAATTTTTAGGTATCACGTGGAATGTTTGACCGGATATCGGAAAGGGTTTTCGGACACGAATGAAACAACTAATTTCATAACTCGCCTAGAAACCGCGAAACGAATCTTTTAAGCCTAATTAATTTGTCATTACCACATGTGGGTTACTGTAGCACTTATATGGCTAATCATGGACTAATTAGGCTCAAAAGATTCATCTCGCGATTTTCCCCATAACTATGTAATTAGTTTTATTTTTATCTATATTTAATGCTCCATGCATGTGTCTAAAGATTCGATGTCTTTATAGAAAAAGTTAGCTATTTTGGTGGGTAGGTGGTGTTTTTAATATGTATAACCTTTTTGCAGGCGGACCTTTTAGTGTACCACATGCGAAAAGCCTGCAATAATAAAAGTATTTTTGCAGGCGGACCTCTTAAGTGATCCACCTGCAGACAACGATATCACCGACGGTTGTCAATTTCGCAGGCAGCCATTTAGCTCCGAGAGGCCTACCCACCTGGAAAAAAAATAGCATCGTCTGGATAAATGGTTTTCTAGTAATGTTTAGAAGACAAAGAACGACAATTAATTCTTGTACATGGAGGAAAAGATAAAACTTGTCCAGACCAAGACAACATCGATCCTTGGTAAAACTAAGGGTTAATTGGATCCATGACATTATAAATTCTTTAGTTTTGAAATATGCTATTACTATTCACCTATTTGAAGTGATGCCATTACAATTTTGAAGGTATTTGAAATATGCCACTGCATACCCTTTCAACACATTTAACAAAAACTTTAGACCAAATTGCCCTTGTCCTTTTCCTCTGTCTCCTCCCATCTCTCCTGTTCATCTTCTTCCTCCCTTTCTTCCCCTTCTGGATCTAGGTCGGGCAGCTTGATTTCTTCCTTCCCATTTTTCGCCGGTGAACCTCGGCTAAGGACACCCCCTTCACCTTTACTCCGGCGTGGATCTTCAAACCCCGCGAGGAGGTGATGAACGTGGCGTCGAGGGCTGGGTCGTGGCGGTACCATGGTTCGACTCTGTGAAGTGGACGAGGCCGAGGGACCAGAGGCCCTGGCGTTGGAGCTCAGCCATAGCCGAGGGACCGTGATAGTCGTCGTCCTCGGTGGGGAATCCAGTGCTCGGACGCTCGGTAGGGAGGTGCAGGCTTACAGTGGCTGGGTAGGCACAGGCTTGGTGGATCCATGGCAGCAGAGATAAATAGGAGAGATGGAAGGAGATAGAGGAAGAAGACAAGGACAATTTGGTCTACATTTTTTGTTCAATGCATCAAAGGGGTATGCTGTGGCATATTTCGAATATATGAAAAATTGTAATGGCATGACTTCAAATAAGTGAATAGTAATGGCATATTTCAAAACTGAAAAATTTATAATAGCATAGGTCTAATTAACCCTAAAACTAATTGGTTCTACAAAGATAATCAAATTTCACAACAAATATTATTTCTTAAATAATACGGTCGACACAGTCGACTCTTTAAATTCAAATTAAAATGAACAAGCAAATGATTTTCCATCTCCCTATAAGCCAAACCCCACATGATAAAAATATGAAATTATAAAAGATAATTGAGCCCTATGATCACCTCTACAGAAATCATTTGTACAGGCATCTGCCATATTTATCTACCAACGGATTAAAAATGCAGTTACCTATTTATTTGACTTACAGGGCCATCCGCATTGCCTCTCGCACTGAGACCGGCGGTGACAACCCTTGCCGCTGTAAGCACCCGTCCCTCCTTACTTCGTCACGTCACAGCCAGAGCTTGCTGCTGGAAAGGCAGGCAGTGAGCTAGGACGGCAATGGATAGGCTCCATTCCGTGGCGCTCCAACAGATCTAGCGCGAGCAAAGCTGGATGTGCGTGGATCTAGATGGCCGGGGCTGCGCAGGGGTGAAGACGGCCGAGGTGGCGTGAGAAGGAAGACAGCAGGTGGCGCCGCAAAGCCTCGCGCTGAGGCCGCTCGGTGGTGGTGAGGTGACCCGATGGTGATGATGCTACTATTTAGTGACGCAAAGTGGCAGCGGCGGTTCGAGGTGGCCTCTCTAGGTGTGGGGATGGCTGTGGTGGTGGGATGGCGCCGGCCTCGCGTGCAGACATGACCGTCGCAGCGAGGCCTCCCTTCTACTCGACGACGGTGGGGATGGTGAGCGGCGGGCAGATCTGCAACAGCGAAGGCGGATCTGACGCAGTGGCATGGACATCAGCGCATCGAGGTGGAGTCCCTGGGTGCTCCCTACTAAAATTGCACAAGAAAATAGGGAAAGAGCCGCTAATGAGAAAAAAGAATTAGATGCTAAAACTGAAAATCAACAAGTGCTTAAATTGAAAGGATTTGTTATGCTAGCTGTTGACGGTCGTTAGCGATCAGTTTCGACCGTCAATACTACCAAAATAAAGGAGAACTAGTTATGCTTGTAATGTATATTTGTGTTAGAATAATAATATTCCACTAGTATTAGGATTACTAACCTTTTGCAGAGAATGAAATAAAATGGAGGAGAATCGACATCAAATCAAACGATCAATCAATCGGATGATGACGAGAATCAGACTTATGCATGAATGGGCCAAGAACTCAGAATTGACACGACAAATTGGACCAAAATTCACAAGTCCGAAGTGAGCAACAGAAGAGGAGGCCGCCAGCCGAAAATGGGCTGGATTGGGCCATGTGGATCTAGGGTTGGCGATGGACAGTGTGGATTGCCTCCCTATGGCGGTTGGAGGGTATTACTGACCTTTCCAACCGTCGTAACGGTCATTACCTACCTATTTAAGGAGCTCACTCTCTCCATTTCAACACACACTTCAAGTAAAACTCTCTCATATTCTCTCAAGCTTAGTTTAGTATTCTCAAGCTAGTGGAGCAGGAATAGAATAGTAATCGGAGTCTGGAAGTCTTCGGAAGAGTTCGGGTATAGCTCTAGTAGCTCGCCTTTCTTCTTTTGTAAGATTTGTACTTTATTTAGAATATTCTTCTTTATACAATTCTGGTATTGAAATACTTTCCAAGTATATGAATGCCAACTTTACTTTATTTTCAAGTTATACTGATTATACTACTAGCTTATCTGGGAGATACATAGGTAGAGGTATAGTGTTTGCTTATGCAATTACTATATGTCATGACAATGATATTAGAGTAGTATCTGATAGTTTAGACGTGGTGTCTAGATTACTGGGTATCATTATTTAGGGTTATATGCTGCGGATGAGAGGTGGGCTGCTGATGGTGACAGCTCAGTATGGGTATTCCTCCGCGCGTGTATATAGTCCTAAGTAAATGTCCTAGGGAGGGTACTCCTCCATTTTTAGCCCCGGTTGTATGGTCATGACGGGCTTTCATAAGAAACTCGGCAGTTAGGGGTGGCTTCTCGAAGTACCAGGAGGTCATCGGATAGAGAGTATTAGCTAGTATGTCAGATAACTAGGATGTATGTATACTATGTACTCCCCCCGTCCTATAAAAAACAAATCTAGGACCAGATGTGACATATTCTAGTACGATGAATCTGGACATATATGTCCAGATTCATAGTACTAGGATGTGTCACATCCGATACTAGGTTGGTTTTTTATGGGACGTAGAGAGTATACTAGAAGTATAGGAATATATTCTTTTCTATTTTCTTTCCACTTGGCTGTAACATCGTGAAAATTCCCGACAATAAAAAAATCACTAAAATTTTGAACTTTTTAAAACTTGTTGCATCATGCTGGATGTTATGGTTGCTATTGCTTGCCAAACTATAAATTGTCACAATGAAACATTAACTTAAGGATGTACAATTCGCTAGAATATTCTATCTATCGATTCCATAAATATTATGCAGGAAGCTAAATGAAGGAAAAGTTAATTATTAATTTGTATGGTATGAATTACAAACCAAATATTAAATATTCAAACCATGTTGATAGCTTGGTTTCATATTTAACAAATGGAAACAGTAAGATTAAATGGAATTCACTCATATAAATAAATAGAGTAAATACATCACTACCATTATAATGGTCACATTAGAATATTTTAATTAATATCAAAGCCTAGAAGTTATATTGGATAATTTTTGGATAATCTAATGGAAAGCAAATTCGTTTGAGAACTAATGAATAAATAAATAAATATTCAAATGAAATATTTGAATTACCAAAATCCAAAATGTGTAGAGCTACATTTCAATTCCAAATCCAATCTTAGCCATTTTGCAGTTTAGCCCTTCCCTTTTTCCCTCTTTCTCCTTTTCTCTTATTTTCCACCGGTACTGTTCATTGCGCACCATGTGCTCGACTCGGACTCCACCCGGTCGAACACCCGACGCCGCCTTCTTCGGTCGCGGATGTGCCGCACGCCCACTTGGCGTGACCGTGCGCCGCACCGCGTCACGCCGCGCCGCTTGGGCCCGCCGCCCGACCGAGCCGCCGGATTCCCGCATAAGGCTGCGCTGCCATGAGCGCCTGCGTCACCCTATCCCGTCGCGAGTCGCCATCGCATCGCCATATCATCGCCCCTAGCTGAGACCGTTGGATAATGCGGCGTTTCTTCCCCAGCTAGGACTAAAACTAGCAGACTATAGGCTATAGGCGCAATGATGGAGCCACAGAACTTTAATGGAGAAGGAGATGAACCTTAGCCATGTCATCCACCTCATTGCTCTTATCCGATCGCCATTAGAGCTCCAGCTCATCCAGGCCATGTGCTGGCGATCTTATCCCCATGGTTTCCTTACACCCTAAGCTAAGCCCCCAATAAAATCCCCATTCTTCTCAGCTTTCTTCCCGAATGCATTTCATCGAACACCTTGCGATCACTCTCTCACCACCACTAGAGATCACCATTGCGAGGCTTCCCGGCCAGAGCTGGAGGTTGGAGGGAGTGGAGGAAGAGTTGTGCTCCTGCCGTCGCCATTGAAGGACCCGAGGACCGCTGGACACCGGGAACCACGCGTCGAACACTTTCGGGCGTCACCAACAGCTAGCCGCCTCCACTTCGTCCGCACCGCAGCACGCGTCGCCGCCCTTCGCCGTCTCTCCATCCCGGGGTAAAACCTCGAGCCCATAGCATCCTCTACACCTCTAATAGCTAGCGCCGGCTCCAGTTTGTACGATTAATGCCGATGGCTGTGCCGCCCCGACCGCCGTTCCGCCGCCGACGAGCTCACCGTGGATAGGCCATCCCGGGTGCTCTCCCTCCCATCTTTCTGGAGAAATCGAACGCCCATACACCGTAGATGCTCCTACGCCCATCAATTTGGCAGGAGACCGTACCAATCACCCAAGCACCAAACCTCCTCGAGCTCGGTCATGGCAGCCGTGTCGTGCCACTTGCCTAGGCGCCGCCGCACGCCGCATTCGGTACCAGAGGGTCGCCTGAGCTCCACCGCACCTTCCCTAGCCACCGTCGGGTCGCCCTCGGCCGGCTCTGCCGTGCGTGCCGTGTTCCCCTGCTGCTCCCGCTTGGTCGGGAGGAAGAAGAAGACGAAGGTTGAAGACGACCTTTAGCCGTGCCACTGACGAGCCGTCCCCACTCCTCCTATTTCCTTTAGAAAATTAATCCTGTGAAAAAGAAAATCAAAGCTTTGACCCCACATGTCAGCAGCTGTTAGGGATAAGGATAGATTTCGGATTAAAATAAATCAATTAGGAACAGTAACTTTTCGCTATTTCTTGGATTAATTCAAATTTGGGTCTTTAAACTAGCATAACCTATTCATTTTAACTCCGATTTGAGTGAAACTTGAATCTAAATTCATCTAAATTCATAAGCTTTCCAATGGTATATAATTCACTATTTAATAACATATATTCATATTTATAAAATAATTAATGTTCAATGATTAGATTATGATCAACTTAAAAATGTGCTAATAAATAAAGTTGGTATTGTACAGTAAGATAGGTAGAAGAATAATTGTCTTTAACATGCTTTGTCACTGTAACAACTACATTAATTAATTATAAATATTGTTTCAAATTAATTGAAGCATAGAAAGTAACATTGCTATTCATTAGTCGCTGACCATATATGTAGTTAAGTCCATGCCTTACTAATTAATTAAATTAAGTTTAGTCTTATAATTAGGTAAATAAAATATGAGTATACATAGATCATTCCTAAGCTTGATTGGGGGGGAGGAGATAATAGCAGAGCTAGTGTGATTAAATCACCTATACGAAATTAATTACTTAATGTCAAGTCCCATGGAGTGAGTAGTATCTTTTAAATTGGTAATCAATCTTAAGTTAATAAACAGTACCAACTCGCCAAATCCACCTACATCACATATACTGTATATATATAGATTACAGTAAATAACTCATGTTCGGTAAATGGTCCAATATTAATATATTATTGAACTGCCATAATGACAATAGAAGATTAAGAAACCTTATCCATTAGCAAGACCAGGTAGTATGAGAAACCCTAGGTTCGACCTCAACAATTATATTTTGTTTGTGCACATTGGATTGTTGTTTGAACATTGGTTTTTCTCGCGTATTATAGAAATTGTATATCGGTTAGTCGTGAGGCAACGTATGCAGCTTCCAGGAGGTGAAGATTGATCAAGATTATACCAAGAATAAGAACTATCCTGAGCAGGCAAGTCATCACCCCATCCCCTGAGCATGTTGGTCCCAATTGTGAAATTGTTTTGTTTATAAATAAAATTGCATGCAATGATGAATATCCTACTTGTTATTTTGCCATGCCTTTGATTATTGTTTACCTCATTATTTCCTTGTACCCATGATTACGTATGAGTCCTTAGTCAATTATGACAAAAGCTTAGTAATGCTACTTTAGAATCATGCATTCTCATATTTATCAAATGCTATATGCTTAGGCAACTACCTTAGGGAAAGTAGTTGAGATACGGCTTGTGGAGACATGAGCGCCACATTGCCATGACATTGGTGACATGATTTGTGAAAGGAAAAATGAAACTAAACAACTGTTTTCGACTGGGGCGGCTGGAGGACTTGGGTGGTGTCCAGAAAAGGCTAGTACCGTCCCTGGTCAGTTAAGAACCGAGCCATGAAGTTAAGCATGAAACGGTCCCCGTACAACCATACTTGTCGTGTGGGTATAGACCTAGCGGAGTAAATAGCTGAGCGGAGGCGGTACCCAAGCCGTAGTGGTTTTCTTGATGTGTGTGAGGCAGGCCCTACGGTGGGGCAGCCATTGGTAGGACCGCGAGGGGCGGGTGCCTACAGTTGTGTCGCCATCGGTAGGACTGCCATGTGTAAACCTAAACTTAACTATAACTTAATGCATGTGTGAGTCTGCTTGTGGCATGTCAACCGGGCCCTTGTATTATTTTGTCTTCCGCTGTTGTTCTCTGATAGTTGTTGGCCTACCTGGCCCTAATGTAAGCATTTAACTCTTTTAGCCTGAATTCATTCGTGATATGTTGTGATTCGGCTATGTATGTGTGTACCAACTACTGATCCAGGGATTGGTACTGATAAACACAGAAGATTTCCGATTTCCAAAATTGGGGGTCGACATTGGCTTAGATAGTTTAATATGAGAATGAGTAGACTTATGCTTGTGTGTCACTCTACCCTATGAATTATATTAACCCTGCTTAGACTATGATTATTACAAGTAATATATAATTTATCAGTACGGTTCTCTCTACTGTAATCTTCCCATGGGATTAAACAAATACAATACCCTTGGAATACTCTCGGGTGAAAAGCTACACTGGTATATCCGTGCGCTTGCGGATAAACTCTATAACCATAATATACCAGGAGTATTTTCTACGACATTGCTGGGAATTATATTTCTAGTAATGTCATTAAGAAATACCATCACTAGCAACAAAATCCGGTCTTGCTGAAATTTGTGATGAATAAGACACATGTTATGCTTTGGTTTGCAAAGATACTCTATTTTCTGTTGATGACGTCTAGCTCTTTGCCTTCTCCTGTCACTAATCTTTTTGCAGGAGTTTCGAGATGTATTCCCATCTGAGTTACTGCAGGTCTACCACCCATTTGAGGGATTTGGAGTATGAAAAAGTGGTTTGATAACGCCATAGAGGCTGGTGATCTGCCTCAAGCAAAGAGTGGTTCATTCATGTTGAGGATCACCCAAAACATTAAAGTTGTTTTTAGGAGAAAGTAGTGAACGGATGGAAGAGGGTGGAAATCGCAAGGAGAAGGTACATATATGGATCCTTCAAATACATTGATGTTTACGAAGACATCAATTTTCTATGAATATCCATCATACTGGGAGCATTTAGAAGTTTGACATAGCATTGATGACGTGCACATTATGAAAAATGTGTGTGAAAGCATTGTTGACATCTTATTGGACCTCTCATCCAATACAAAGAATTCACGGTAGACCTGGCAAGGAAAGAGTTACACCCTACGAAATTGATAAATGCAATGTATTGTCTATAACCGACTAGCTTCTCTATGATAACTGAGGAGAAGAAATTAGTGTGCATGTGCTTACACGGGTTTAAAGTGCCTATACTAGGTACACATCTAACATCAGAAACCTAGTTCCGATAAAAGATTTAGAGATAATAGCAACGAAGCCTCATGATTGCCATGTGTTGATGACACATCTCTCAGTAGCAATCATGGGAGTGAAGCCAGAATCTTCAAGGTGGCACTAACATGGTTCTGTCATTTTGGCAACATAATTTCACAAAAGGTGATGGATGCTTAAAAAACTCCAAGGTTTGCAGGGTAATTTGCAACTACCAGAATTTTCAATCTCGAACTAACTCTTTGCGCATTTTTTTGTGAGTGTTGTGCTTTGCATCTCTCTCTCTCTCTCTATGAAGATCAAATGTCTTTTGAGCACCTGGAAATACAAATGCTAGCATTGACTTGAACACGTCTTGTATTGTGGCTTTTCCCAAGAGTGAAAATTTGAAATCAAATTGAATTAAATCGCCTAGTGTCCTTTAGCCTTTTGCTTTCATTTTTAGGGGTCACCAAGCATCAATCAAATCGCCATGGGACTAATAACTCTACTTTAGCTCAATACACACATAGGTCCCCTAATTGCCTTGTGATCTGTCATCCAAAATCCGCTAGGGGCCGAGATGCACTTTCAGTTTGTTCAGGGCTTATGTATACTTGTTAAAAAGGTCTTTCATATGGTTTATGGTCGACATCAAAATTCCAGATGAACTGCTCGAAATCATACAATCAACAAAGCAAAGCTTTGAACCTCTTCCATCCAAGTCGTAGGCTTTGTAACTGAGTCTTGGTTGACACATGATATGGATGACCTCCCACCCATGTAACGCATAAATAGCTAGACATTTGTCGCCACCTCTAAGGTTTTTGTTTTGCTTAAATTATTCCTACTCTATGTAGTATCGCTGCTAGATTGTTTTCTGCAACTCTAGGCTATGTGTGCTTCATATTCCTTTGCAATTTAAACTGTGTTTTTCTTATGAACTTCTCGATTGTTTGCAGGCTCAATACCTTGTGAGAGCATCGTTGATAACTACGAGACAAACAGATGTAGGGATTGCGAGGTGATATCTACTGATTTAAAGCCTCAAATTGTGAATGTACACATGTCGATAAATCAAACCTATTGAAAGATCTGGTAACTATTCGTATCAACAAGTATTTAAAAATTACAATGTAAGTTTTTAAATTTAATTGTAAGTATATAAAATTCACCAATGTAATTATTAAAATCTATCTATTATTATATACTAAAAGTCCATTAAACTTCCTAAAAACACACTCAAGCCACCACGTGGCACCCTATAAATACTGTTATGCCGCCACGTTATTTTCATTTAATTGGCGGACCCGTTATTTTAGACTATTAGATTAGATCTATTTGCTTCCTCTTGATATAACATGTCCTGTGCATATGGATGCTGTTTATACCGGAAAAACCAAACCATCAGTACGTACTTGGACAACACTAAAAAAGGAAAATAAAGGAAAAAAAGGAAAAAAGAAAAAAAAGAAACAGAACGTACTTACGTACAATAAAAAAAACTATAAAACAGAAAAAAGAAACTGTTCACTTGAAAAAAATAACAAAAAATATAAAAATATATATCATAATAATAAGAAAATTATAAATATATGACCTAAAAAATAAGAAAAGCTACAAGACCTAAAAAATATATGTACATAGGTAGAAAACAATAGAGTCTTTTTAAAATATGTTTTTCTTTACTATAATAATATATTTATTCCACAAATATGGTCATGTGGCGTTCCTACAAGCACTCTTACCGCCATATGTCACTTTATAATTTCGTTGTCAATTTTCATTTAAAATGATGGACCCATTTTTAGATCAATAGATTAGTCCGCTTACTGTTAATTTCCTATGTATAAGAGATAAATTGTTTACCGGATGTCTGATTGAAACAAAACAATAAAAGAAATATGCGTACAATAATAAAGCTATAAAGCCAAAAAAATACATATAAAAGAGTACATAACTACGATAAAAAACCATCAAACAAAAAAATTAGATATTGTTCACTTGAAAAAAAAATATGTACGTCGATAGAAAGAAAAATATAATATACGGTCCTTTCAAAATAGGAATTTCTATACTATAAAAATAAAATTTATTACTCAACAAATATGATCATATGGTGTTTCAACAAGAACTCTTATATTGCAACTTGGCACTCTAAAATTTTGCTGTCAATTTTTATTTAAAATAATGGACCTATTATTTTAGATCATTAGATTAGCCTGTTTCTTAATCTCCTGTGTATATGAGAGAAACTATTTACTGAATATTTGATTGAAAAAAAATAAACATACATACATACATACATACATACATACAACAATAAAGCTATAAAGCCCCCAAAAAATACATATATAAGTTGGTAGAACCTTCGAAAACATATAGACGTTCTTCAGAATAGGATTTTCTACACTATTAAATAAAATTTATTACTCCAGAGATAAATATGCAAAATAAACTACATTAATATAAAACCAAATTAAATGTGTTTAAACGCCCATTTTAAATTTATTTTAAATTATACGGTCAACTTATAATCAGGTCTATTCAAATGTTGATGACTTATCATAGTTATATTATAGTGCTAAATACATTACAACACATGGAGCTGACATATAATCTCAAGCTACCACGTGGCACTCTATAAACACTCCTATACCGTCACGTGGCACTATCTAATCTTACCGTCGTTCTTCATTTAATTGGAGGACCCGTTATTTTATACCATTAGTTTAAATTTATATCTATAGTTGATTTTCATTTAAATTAGTAGATCCATTACTTTAGAATCATTTGGTGTATATATAATTACTTCCCCGTATAAAAGGTGTCTAATTTGAAAAAAAAAGTACAGTCAGCAAAACAAAAAATCATAAGTACAGTACGTATGATCCGGGAAAAAAAACAATAAAGCTTATGTTCCGTTGGCCGGAAGAAAGAAAATGCCTGTGTGACAAAGTAAAAAACAAACGTACATAGTATAATCGGGGAAAAATGTAAATATAATTTTCTACCATATAAGATAAAGCGAAAAACCATATGTATGTAGTACTATCTATCTATGGGTGTGTATGGGTGTGTTTAATTCTTTAGGTGTAAATTTCTTTGAAGTATACGGACACACATGTATTAAACATAGATAAATAACAAATTACAGATTCCGCCTGTAAACTACGCGATGAATTTATTAAGCATAATTAATCCGTCATTAGCAAACGTTTACGGTAGCATTACATTATCAAATCATGGCATAAAAACTGTGCAATTGGTTTTTTTCACCATTTAATGTCCTATGCATGTGTCCAAATATTTGATGTGACGTTTTGGCCAAAACTTTTTGGGATTTAAACAAGGCCTATCTATCTGTCTATTATATATTAAAAGTCTATTAAACATCCTACAAACATTTCCAAACCATCATATGGCACCTTATAAATACTCTCAAGTCGTCAAGTGGTACCTTAATGAAATAGAGAAATCTAACACTCGATTTTCATTTAAATCGGTGGAATCAATATTCTAGATCGTTAGATTTATCTTAGAAAACCAAAACCTCCCACGTCCCCGTACCATGTACCGCGCACAAAGTGATCAATTTGTAGGCTCCCTGTTCCTTTATGTTTTTTCATCCCTATCACAATTAAAATTAAAATTATATTTATGGAAAATAATCTCAAAAGTAGGTGTTAAAGTCCATTAAATATTTTATAAATATTTCTAAATCTTTGTATGACATTATTAAATTAGAGAAAACCCATCCATTGGTTTCCACTTAAATAGATTCGCACAATATTTTGCATTGTTATTGTATCTATTTTTTTAATAGAACAACATCCCAAACCATCTTCCCTTCCTCTCCATCCCTATGGGTGTTTTGCTAAGCTGCTACTTGTCTCACTTAAATTAGAATAAATCCTAATAAACCTGAGGGAAAAAATAGCATCCAACCATCAACACATTATTTAGGTCATCAGATCAATCAATTTTTTTCTTAAAAAAATAAACATCCCAACCTTTCCTCCATCCCCGTTCTCATGCGGTGTGCGGTGTTACTTTTCTCTGTTTTTAATATCTCTATGATAATTAAAATTAAAATTATTTTTATGGGCAAAGAAATGATCACAAAGGAATCTCCACCTATTAGGTCTAGCCAGTTAATATTTTTTTTAAGTGAAAACGATAGCTTTATGTCCATATTGACTATATTTTAAGTGCTAACAAAAAATTACATTATGGACTCACATCCATATTGAAGCCTCTACTCAATAAAGTTAAAATTTGTTACCGGACATCCAAAAAAAGTATGATTAGCTAAGAGACACTACAAGAACGTATATCTGCTCTGGGACACCGCAAAAAACTAGTAATTAGCTGCTGGATACCCATGGCATTATTCTGTTATGTCCAAAGGAAAAGGGGATATAAACAATTGCGCAAGTATGATTTTTGCCCCTTCCTGCCATGTGTAGCTTGTATATAGCTATGATGTCGAGGTAGTCACGACATGGGCGGTGAAGGGTATGGCAGCGTGGCATGGCACAGCTATGAGACCGACAGCAATAGCCTACGCTCTGCGGTGCCCTGCTTGACATGAATCTGGAGGTGGTCCACGTTGTGCTTACCCCAAGCGCTGTGTGTCGCGGAGCATCGGCGCCGGCATGGCCCTCGTGCTGTAGCGGCGACGAGTGCGGGAACGACATGGAGCCATAGGCCTAGCTGCACTGGCCCTCCTTGAACCCACCTCCCCCCCTCTAGAGAGCCACCTCACCGACGGCGGGTGCGGTTGCAACATCGAAGGTGTATGCGAGCCGGAATTGGTAGGTAGGGGAAAAGTCATGCTTTTGTTTTTTCTTTCTCCATTTCTTTTGGATATGATAAAATAATGTCATGGGCCTCCGGTAGCCAATTACCAGTTTTTTCGGTGTCCCATGACAGATACGCGTTCTTGCGGTGTCCCCCAGCTAATTACACGTTTTTTAATGTCCCGTAGCAAATTTTACCCTAATAAAAGGAAATACTAAAATTGCTCACTCTACAAATCAAAATATCCCAGCTTATTTTTTAAAAAAACTGGTAGACCCATTACTTATATCCCGTTAGACATCTAACGACTTTCCATCAACTTTTTCTCAGCTTGTATATGGGAGTTATTTACCCATACATTTTGATGTTGATGCTTTAATCAATAAATGATCATTTAAGGAGATAAATAAATAATCTTTAGATGACCATAGCATCTAAATTATATATATGATCTATGAAGTCACGTGGCAAGTTGAAGAACATACTAGTTGTACTGAGCATGTTGGTTGCACCAAGACAACCATGGTATGGCCTCAGCAATATATAAGCCAATTACAGATAGGAATTAAAAGACCATATCCATTTCTTTTGGTAAAACTTGCTGCAGTACATCGTGAATTTGTGACATATAGCATAGAACAATCTAGAAACATGACGCTCCAGTTTAGTGGTAATTTGCTAAGAAAATACTACGACATCTATTTTAATTTTTCTTACATAATTGGAGCGAGATAATTTAGAATTGATGCCTTTACCACATGCCAGCTTCTAGGACCAACCCACTTATATTTTCAACCCGAATTACAGAATCAAAGCATTTCAAACATGCTTCATAAAGTGGATTTATCCAAAAAAATGAAGATAAAAGGAATGAAAATTGAATAAAATTTATCTAATTTAATTTTTTTGTTGGGTTTATAACCCATTCTAAGTAGAAATATTCAAACATTTTAGTAGGACTAATAAAATGAATATATTTAAAATTTCAAACAGAATCTAACAAAAAAAAAGGACATTTATAGGAAACACATCTATTGTTTCAACACAACATTTTCTCATGAAATAGAAACAACACGGTTTAAAGTAATTTTAGTTCACAATTTATATGTTGTAAGTAACCAGTGCTCAAAGGACGTTAAATAAGTTCAGTTTTAGTTTATGATAAAGTGAAAGAATATTTTTGATAGGAAACCATCCTCACATGACATTCGTAATAAAATTTTACGTACATGCCCGCGCATATGCGCGGGCTACCTTCCTAGTTACATTCTAATTAAAATTTTAGTACAAAGATTTAACAACTTTTTAATAAAAAATACAGAGCCATAAATATAAATTCTCCCTTAATATAATTTGGACATACGCACACGAATCTGGATACACTAATTAATATTGTCAGACATAGTACATCCGTATGTATTTAACGTACAAGCAAATTATTGCAAACGCTAACACACACGTCCGCAAGCTTATGACGTTATTAATTAATTAACTAGGG